GGTGCTAGAAAATAAGATGCAAACTAAAAAGGGTACAAGAAATGCGACGGTGAATCATGAAAAAACTGCAAATGTAAAAGTTAAACAAGAAAAGTCAACTAGGGAATTGGCTGCGGCTATGTTAGCCGAATGGGAAGAGGAGGAAGAAGAGGATATGGAAGATAAATCGTCCACAACAAAATTGGAATGCGAAACCAAACTCGACATTAAGCCACGTCCTTCGCAGCTACCTGCAGCGAAAATATCAATAAAAGAACATTTTAACATAGAATGTGATGAGTGTCAAAAAGTAATTTTTACTTTTTATATTTAAACTATTTAGGGAAAATACATAAGTACACACATTAATATATTATCCCTTGGTATTTTTTTAGTATATCGACTTTATGGGCAGCAATATGAGCCTGGCAGAAATCGAGGCACATCTGCGCCGTTGCACACTTCATCGCACTACGAAAGATTGTATACCAGTTACGCCGCCAGATTACTGGAACCCATTAATGCCTTCGTTTTCCGATAGTGATCCACGCAATAAAACACTACTTGTGGATCCATGTTTGCATCGCAAGCGTTATGGCGATAAATCGTGATATAAACTACATAATAATTCCAATAGGTGATTTAGAATTTTTGTTTTATTATTTTGCATTACCAATGTAAAAATATATTCTATATTAAATTTCTATGCATATGTTTTTTTTACTTAAGGATTAGCGTGTATGTATGCATATGATACTGAATTCTATAAATTGCCACGTTTTGCCTGTTCGATCTCAATTGCCGTAAACAGGGACTTGAAGTTGCCAGCGCCAAAACCCTTGAAAAAAAAATAAATCACAGTCAAAATAAGAACAAAAATTTAAATTAAGGATACATGTGGACGTTTCTAACAAAAAGTAAGGTACATTCAATATGCATCCATTTAACTTTATTTTAAGAAAGTTCTTTATTTTTTAACGAAACAAAGTAATACTGGAAATTGCATCAAATCAAGTCTTTTTAAACCCATTTATTTATGAATATATGTACTTTGTATTAAATAAACAGGGATATGTATGTACCTACTACATATGTTGGTTGAACTAAAAATGCTTCTATACTCACATTGTGATTGTGTCGCTGAATGACCTCTATGAACAAGGTTGGTCTATCTTGCATATTTTTTGTGAAGATTTGCAGCAAATACCCATCTTCGTCGTAATCTATTAAAATATTTAACTCTTTCAATAGCTCCATATCTTCTTTGATCTTTGTACGACTATTCTTCAAATTCGCTTCCAAAATGTCATAGTAGGAACTTGGTATTTTTAGAAATTCTAAGCCCCGGGTACGTAAATTACGCACCGATGTTATAATATCGCTGGTGTTGAGTGCAATATGCTGTACACCTGCACCACCATAGTATTCCACATACTCTTGAATTTGTGATTTCTTCTTGCCTTTTGCTGGTTCATTGATGGGAATCTTTACGTTCTCCTCATAGTTGGCCATAACAATGGAACGCAGTGCAGAGTAATCAGTGTGTATTTGAGAATCATCGACTGACCAAAAACGATGGAATTGCAAAACGCGTTCATACCAAGCAGCCACGCTCTCCATCTGCAAATCAGGTTGATTACCAACGACGTGGTCGATGAAGTCAAGTTTTGTGGGCGGCAAACCTTTAAGTAGATTGTCGGGCGCGGGTGTTATGAAGCCAGGCAGAAATTTGCCATTGTATTTAGTACGATCGACGAATGTATGAGTACTGTCGCCGTACTGGGGATTGAACAAGTATCAACGAAGGATTAAAATCTCAAATTATAGAGGGGGTGGGAACAATTTTTCAATTTTTTTTTTATTTTGTTCAAGCTTTCACACTCACCGTTTTAATGGTGGCGAATCGTACGCTTCCATATTCATCTGTTTCTTCCCAAACATCCCGCACTACTACAGCACCACGTTCTTTTGCATACTTGAAAATTCCATCCAAATCATCAACCTCAAAGGCCACATCTTTTACACCATCACCATGTTTAACCAAATGATCACCATGCTCCGCATCGGCGGGTTTGTAGGCAGATACAAACACGAAGATTATGCGATTTTGTTTCACAGCGTGACTAGCTAGCCGACGATCGCCCGTCTCGAGACCCCGATAACCTACATGTGTAAAACCGAATCGTGTCGTATAGTAGCTGGCTGCCTGTTTGGCATTGCCCACATAGAAGGTCAGATGATCGAAACTTAGAAATTTGCCGAATTTCGGCTGAAAAGTTTACGTACAAAAATATTAAAAATAAAATTACGACAAAAAATTGCATATCGTCACCTAAGGAGAGACGACAAATCGATGTAGTTTCGTATTAGCTGCCATTCTGCATCAAAAACTAAATTTTAGAAACAAAAAAGGCCTTGCACCTTTTCACCATTAGGTGGCGATATGCTTGAGGCTATACTTTTTGTTTCTACGCACCTTTGGTCCTTTGTCGGTATATGAAGTCTAGGAAAAAAAAGAAAACATACGAAAAAGTTGTTAAAATTCTGCATTTTAAACATGGGAAGTTAGTAATCCATAACTAAGCTTTACAGTAAGATTTATGTAGATCGCTGGGTTCGCATAGAGCCCTCATTTTTTATATGTATGTATGTATGTCCATTTTTCCGATTTTTGGAAAAATGTTACTGTTGCGAAAATTCAGAAACGTCATAGATAAATGCCTAACGTTGTATAAAAATTTTAAAGTTTTATACCAAATATTTCGGTGCATTCATAACCTGGACCGAGTTCAAACTAAAACTTTCGCGTTTTTCATGAAAAAATTTATATTGCACACTTTTTTCTGCAAAAAATGATCAAAAGATATAGAAAAATTAAACTGTTAGGGGTTTTAAATCTCAGATTTATATTAAAAATTTTCAAAAACTTTGCAAAGATCTTAATAATACAAGCCAATTCATTTTCGTAAAGCAGTTTAACGATATTTTTAAAGCTATTTTGTTTCTCATTTAGCTTTTTTTAATCAAAAAAATCGTGGGTAATGAATTGGTTAATTTTTAAAGATATGACTAGTGGGTGAAAATATCTTGTCTCTTTTGAAAATGAAAATTGCACTTACATTCATTAAAAGTTTTAGTAACTTGAACTTGGCGAATTCTGTTAAACCTTTTATGCCGATATTTCAAGCAGCGTTGCCGCTTTGTTAATTTTTTACCAAAACTGGTAATTTTATTCTTTTTAGGACGAATTTGGTAATTTATTTCTATGATTCCAAAATCTTACAGACTAAATAGCAACAATTAATAAATAAAAAAAATTTACGAATAAAGAGTAAATTATGTTTTTTTTTTTTGGTTTATTTGGTATATTTTTTTTCAATTTGGTAATTGGTTCAACATAAGTCTTTTAAGTTTTTTATACTAACTTATGACTTATAAAAATTTAGAACTTTTAACCTTCTTACAATTGCACATAACAAAAAATTTGCTTTTAGTATGAGTGCGCAATATAGCTATTTAAAGAAAGCACCAATTTTTCCTAATACGGCGGCTCGACCACAAGTCCTACAGCCCCAGAAAACAGGTTGTTGGAACATTTTTACCTGCTGGAACCAATGGTGAAAGAAAATAACTTTACAGTACTAATTACAATTTTGCAAGTACATAAATACGAATGTGACGAGCTCATAAAACTGTAAAAGTAAATTTTATCTATCGTTTATCGATACACATCGATCGATAAATACATCTCAGCTGCCGACAACCAAAGTCGTGGTGTAGCTCTGTCGCCGCCAAAATAATTATCTACATATAAATACGGGGAAAAATAGTTTGACGGCGGTGGTACATAGCTCGTGTTTTTAATGTGTTCAGACTGTTATGTTCATAAAAACTTGATAATTTTTTTCTGAGTTTGGTAATTTTTTTTTAAGTTTTGGTATAAAAAATCTTTGTGGCAACACTGATTTCCAGCTTCATTTTTCCGTTATATACATATATATATGCATACAGATTTGTGGCATTTTGATAAAACAACTTATCTCGATTAAGGCCATTTTCTCTTTAAAGCAGTGTTTCCCAAAGGTCCTTGGGAGGCTAGACGGGGGTCTAGTTAGGCGTTGAAAAAAAGGAGGTTCACAAGCTGTAAGTGAGGGTTCCCGACAATTTATCTGGTTTCGAACAAAATGTTGGCTTGGCTTTACCGAGAAATGAAGACAGATAATACATACACTGCTAAAAAAATTAAGGGAGCAAAAAAAATTCCGAATTTTTTGGTGATTTTTGATAGGGTGTATTTCAGTGAATCAAAAAAAGGCACTTTGAAGCATTAAGATTCTAATTTTCAGATTTTTTAGCAAAATTTTTTTTAGGAGCTAAGGTTCTCAAGCAATCCTAACCGATAGCGCGAAAAAATAATTTGGCAAACTTTTTGTTTTGGTTTGGTCCACCGGAGTGAACAACAATTTGTTCAGTTAAACCGTCATATTTTTTAAAACCTACCTTAATTTTCTTGAGTAGTATATTTTAAGACGCAGTTCGCAAAAATTCCTCACTGAGGAATAAAGTTTCCATCTTCCTCCTCACTATAACTCAATTCAAGAGCAATCAATTTTGATGTCTTCTTTTGTGACTTAAAAAAGAAAGAGCGATCTTCAACTAAATTAATATTTAATATAACTCAGTTTTTTAGCCTCAATATTTACCTCACGCTCCCATGCCACTAAGAATATTACTCCGTTCTATCTCTAAATAGAACAAAAATATACTATTGTCTTTTTGTTTTTCATTTTTTTGTGTTTATATGCGGCATATACCATGCGTCTGACCCGCGAGTCGGTTTGGATGTGTTTGAGAAAATAAATATGTGTTAGTTACACCGACCTGACTCTGAATGATTCAACTGTCGAAGGCGAGTCAACACGTATACAAATGACTCGCGAGTCGAGACGCACCGTGTATGCCGCCTATTACCACTCCGAACTTACCCGCGACCTAAATTTCCATCGTGAAATCTATGCTTCACATTTTTTGACGTGTTTTGGGAATATGGTAGAAATATAGCAGCATGGTGTCCACCAGTAAACCTTTGAAAGTGGTCTACGAGAATTCAACTAGGTAACTATCCTATAAACATTGGGGCTCATTTTAGAGTCAGAAAAGTCTCTGAATTCTAAGTTGTAACCCTCATTATGAGCTCAAAAAAGAGCCAAAACAGAACATATTTCCCTTCTTAGAAGGGCACGCCAATATAAGTCCAAGTTGGGAGTAAGCAGTCCAAGTTTGAGAGTCTGAAATATGACGCTCTCTGAGTCGTAAAAACAAATATTTTTTATAATTCTGATTATTGCTAAACTTTTAATTCTAAATGAATTTTGTTACTTTTGTTGAACTAAGAATTTATGAATCCAACGGAGTCCGAAATGAGTCAGTCTGGTTGACTGAAAGAAATTAAAAGAGACTTGAGTGCTGTCTGCGCCGATATCCTAGTTATGGGACCATAACCGTAAAACTATTTCGTTAACCAAAAAATTTCACAGAGCAATATAGTATGTAATGCAATTGCGAGTGTCGCGGAAGCTGGCCAATAATTTCGAACAAAGTTTCTTAGTTCGATTTTAACAATTCAATCCTTCTGTTTCATTTTGTAAAATATTTTTTTTATGTACACATACCATTTTGTCCTCTTTTGCTGCTGTATATCGAATTCGCTATAAATTTATATAAAAATCACGGGTTTCACAAAATATCACTTTCACATTTAAACAAATTTTCGCAGCAACTACGGCGATCTTCGAAATGTTGATCGCTTTTTATAGCCGCTGTGAACTTTGTTAACTGAGTAATCCTGAATCTACTACCACTATCGTGTTTTAATAAACAATAGGTGTAGTGTATAGTATTAGTTAGCCAATATACTCGTGCCTGCATATGGCACATTCATCGATTTGCAAAATCTTGCATTAGCGAACCCATACTCATACATACTTATATATGTACATATATGTATTTGTATGTATGTGTGTGATCCACGTGTAAATACATCAATTCTTCTAATATTACGTACATATAGAAATCGTAAGAAATCTTAATTTAAATATTTCAAAACCAGTATTTTGTTTATCTAGTCTTAACGACAGTTGGTGGTGTTTCACATTTTTAACTGTGACGTTGTTTTTGTTTTGAAGAATATGTAACATAAAATGTCTTTTACCGGCCTAATGTTTTGTTTTTGTTTTTAATGAATAACATTAATCGGCCCTATCGCGAATTCCATGTGAACGAATATTCTTAAAAGTTATAAAGCAAAACAAAAACAATTTTAAAAAATTTTTTTATTTTTTTTCTGCTAAATATTTTAATTAGCTGAAACAGTTAGTGTTATAAAATGTGTTAGTCAGGCGTTAAAAATGTGCTCCAAATTTATTGTAATGTAAAAGATTTATAATGAAAATTTTTGCTAATAGGAAATTGAAAACATACACTCATCTCAAATATATGTGTATGTACATACATACATGAATGAAAAAATGTGAAAAAGGGCGTCTCACAACTTTCATTTGTTGTAGAAATATTTTTATAAAAATTGGTCCAACAATTTATAAGAAATACGTGCTTGTAGTTTCTGAGACAAAAATACAGCGTTCTTACAACCCCATAGCATAGCTGCAAGCAGCCAGGACTCACTTCGCATATTTTTCTGAATCTTTGTGCACAACTTTCGGCCATCAGTTGCATTTGCTGTATTCTTCTATCTGTATATCTGGAAAATTAAAAAAATGTTAAAGTATTTAGTTAATATTTTAAATGAAAATCTTATTAAAATGCATGCCTCACAACTTTCTTTAACCGCAAAAAAATTTATATTAAAAATTTGTTGTGTAAACCTGACACCGAAAATAACCGTTAAATATTTAGATTTTTATTTTTAGATCATCGTAAATTCGTTATATTATAATTTTTTTTTTTGATCAAGAATAATCGCTAAATTTATATATTTTATATTTTCGGTCAAATTTAATCGTTATTTTATGATTTATATCGATAATTTTTAACCGTTATAATGGAGACTGCGTTTCTTTTATGATCTGAAAAATCAAATTTGAAAATAACGTTTATGGAATGACCGAAAAATTCCAAAAATAACGATTATTATAGATAAAAAAATAAAAGTCATAACATAACGCTTAAATTTTATCGCAGAAATAGAAACTTTTAGACCTTCATGAGTGTGCATTGAAGTTAGTAAATCATGTTTTCTAACCTTCATACATTTTAGTAAAAACTCTTGGTTTCTGGGCTCGATACCAAGAACAACTTAGACCGAATCATAAATCAGGCGCACCTCGCCAGGTAACGGCAGATCATCCAGTTTTTTGCTATGAAAATGAGAGTCATTTAAATGCATCATTTTATTTATTTTTCACTTAAAGAAAAAGGCCCTTTAAAGTGCAAAACTCGGAAAAATGTTTGCAGGGAAATACAAAGAAAAAGCGATCTATTATTTTATAATTCGACAGATCTGAGATTCGACTTCGTTTTTAAGGAAAAAATACAGCTCTACAAAAATTTAACAACTCACCAATAATAGTCAATTCTTGTAGGTTTTTATTCGAATAATCAGAATATGATCCTTAAAAAAGCTTTATTTTCACATTTTTCGTCCAACTCTGTTTCGACTACATACATATATAGCACTTCAGAAATGCCTTTTTCTATACTTTGAATCCGAAATCACCCAAAAATTTTAATAACCGAGAACAAGACTTATGATCGAAACTAAATGTCGCTCTCGTAGTTTTGTTTCCAAGAACGCTTCAAAACCAAAACCTAAATGAGAACAAAACTGTCGAGAATGTTCTCAACGGGAATTGTATAAGAACAAAACCCTGTGGAACGTTCCTAAAGAGAACAATATGCGAACAATACTTTCGAGAACATTTCTAAGAGAATGAAATGGGAAAAAAGGTCTCCGGAACGTTTTGGCAGAAAACAAAACGCGAACAGAAGTCTTAAGGAACTTTCTTTCGAAGAACAATGTGGGTACTAAAGTCGCAGGCACTCTCTGACAGAGAACGAAACGGGAATAAACCTTCTTAGAACTATTCGCGAAGAATGGAGGGGAGAA